GCAAGTCCTTATTATTATTTTTTATTATTATTGTTTAATAGGAGGGTTTTGTTCGTCTCAAACCTCTGTAGGTGGATAAGGGAGGGAGGGGGGGGGCATGAGCTCCATCTCTGTTAACCCCTGTTGTAAATTCATCTCGCTAATAGATGCCATTAATAATTCCTGCCCCAGATAGGCCTGGAATTTTTTTCAAACTGTGTTGGAAACATTTCCAAAAAAAAAAAAAAAAAAAAAAAACGTAGGTAGGAGCTCTGGGCAGTAATTTTCTACTTCTTTTTTGATTCAGCAAAGATTCTTTAGTTGAGACAGTTGACTGCAATATGGAAGACACCGTGAACGTTGAAATTAACGCTGTAATCTCAAAAATTTCTGAAGCAACCCGTAAACAGGTACTAGGAAACTGCAAGGGAAGACAGTGAAAGAAAATGAAAGGAAAAAAAGTAATAATTTGCTGCACGTATAATTCAGAGTGATTTACAGCTACCATGTGTCTTCTATTTATTTATTTATTTTTTTAGCAGATTGTAAAAGCTAAATCTAGTAACCTTACCTCTGTACTTCTTCCTGACGCTTGTCCCAGTGTGAAGTCATATAGGGGAAAAAAATCATAACCTCAACAGTTAATTTTGCAGTATTTATTTAAAGTATATAATAAAGGAATTAAATGTGATAACTTTTTGGACTTCAGCTCCTAGCAAAAGGTTGGGCTTCTAAAATATAATTAAGGGTCTTAATTTTTTTATCATGCTTTTGGATTCTTTTTTAGCTAAGTTGCTGAGGTCTAAAAGTTTTCAACATTTTAGTACTCTTGTTAGCTTTTTTAGGTTTTTTTAATGCTTAAAAAGACTTAACATTCTAAAACATGTGTTTTAGAATGATTGTACACCTCCCTCTGTGACCTAACAAGTATGCTTTAATAAACCTCAGTAGTGACCTTCTGAAGTCCTGATGTTTCAAAGCAAATAGGTTATGAATCTTTGTCTTTTTTTTTTTTTTTTTTTTTTTTA